AGAGGGTGGGAGAACGGAGTCAGTGGGTTGGCTTGCTTTGTGCCCAAGATACTTGCTGTGACATGGCAAGTTAGGACAGCTATCCAGGAGATTACTCCAATTAATGGCAGGACCAGCTGAGAGCAGACACACCATCTGCACAGCCACGTCTGCGAGATGCTGCTGTCATGACAGGAACCGTACAGGTGTCACACGAGTGGCAGCACCTCGTGAGAACAGAGATCCATGAGCTAAACATGACCCTCCCATGACTCAAGACTTCTTCCCACAATCAGGAAAGGCTGAGGCGCCTCTGGGCAAGCCTCAGGACTTCCACCATGGAGGCCACTTGAGAAGGGAGCTACCTGGAGCTACCGAAAGCACCACCACTCGATTAACACTCAAAGCAGTCTGGGAAAGCTGGAGCAGCTAGACATTCAACAAGGCCAGTCAGGGCAGGTTCAAGCACATCTGGGACTACTTTGCAAAGTCACTGATCCAGTTGGGCCATCAAATAGCAAAGCCCAAACTCAGAGACTTGGTGCCCTCAGGTTCGCACCTCATCGGTCTCAACAGAGTTGCTCTTGGTTTTGCAGCTGTGCGAAGAGAAACCAGGGTGGCCCCCATCCCACCTCCCTTGTGCTCTGACACCCTTCCTGCACCTGCTCAGACCCCACCATGGGCTGGCAGCAGAGTATGTCATGTCCCAAATAAATTTAGGGCAGAGAGGGAAGGAGGAGGGAGGGTGCGTGCGCGGTATATGGGTAGGAAAGTAAAAGCCCGGGTCCGCGACACGCACAGCCAGCAGCCGAGCCAAGGAGAGCCCCAGGTCCTCCTTGGGCACATGGCGCTCACACCGGCTGGCAGCAAGGCTGGAGCAGTGGACACGAGACTCCAATAACCAAACTCTCCTCTCCGTCCCAGGGATCCCTCGCAGGCTCCAGATCTGCAGTGTTGCACGAACCTGCCCTGGCATGCCGTTAGCATGTTGTTAGACTGGCAGCTCATCTCTAAGCAAACAGACTGTAGGTACCGTCTCTAACCTGTATCTATGTTCCTCTGGATGGCTACAATCAGAAAAGTAGGAATGTGAAGATCACAATACTAATCCATTACACTGCAGTCAACTCCTGAGTGTTGCAAGATCATGCATGCCAGGTGCTCATTTCATTACTTTTTTTTTTTTTTTTTTACATACAACGTTAAGGCACACAGGACTTTACAGTAAACACAGATGCAGAAATTCTGTTCAATGACAATTAAGGCTGCAGCAGTACAGACACAATCCACCCCAAACCTGACACAAAGAAATTCAGAAGGAAAGTCTTTGGCATTCCTTTCTGCCATCACATCAGCTGCCATTTAACAACCATTGCATTGCAACACACCACAAAGGGTCCCTTTCCTTTTTTTTTTTTTCTTTTCATCAGCTATCAAAAAGCAGCTTGTACCACCAACTGGTTAAATTCGCATGCTAGCAAAAAGCCTTACATCTCTGCTCAGTTGGTGGCATGTTCAACTGTTCATGCAGAACTTTCACCCATCTGCTCAAACCAGACGCCCAGGCGAAAAATAAGCACTTGAAGGATGCCACTAGACTTGTTCCCACTCTACCTGTGTCCATGTGCAGCAGCCTGACTGAAAGAGTTCATGTCACCTTGTGGAGTCATGGAAATGCCGTTCCTGTACATTGTTCCTATCATGGGGTCAGCTCCTCGCTCCAACAGCAAACTGACCAGTTCAAAATTTCCTGCAAGTCAAGAGATGCACTTTTACTTCATTCAAAATCCAGTATTTGCTCACCTAAACCACAGATCCCGATTGAAGGATTTATTATAGTGAGACGAGAAAGTCCTTACCAGCAGCTGCTGCCAACTGTAAAGGAGTTTCAGAGTAGTTTTCCTCTCCATGCTCCAAAGAACCTTCTACCTTTGCTCCAGCATCCAGCAACAGCTAGAAAGAAAATTCACCATTTAAAGCAACTGGGGGTATCAGTGTTCTCAGAGTTCATGAACAGTGACAAATGAGAGTCTAATGCTTCCTGTTATCTGCAAACCAGATACGATGGAGACAAGTGACATGCAAATTCTGCCCATTTTTTTCATAGAGGCAAATTGATTCCTTTTTTCGCTCATTTTACACTGCCAGACACCAGGAGCACTAGTGTCCAACTTTAGAGCCAAAAAAGTGTAACTCAGTGTTCCCGAATGGGAAATGGGGTAAGGTCAGTGTTAGGAAGTAATGCGCAGAAGATGGAAGTACTGAAAATTAGCCCAACAAGCATCCTTCCTTCACAGCCTTCTAGAAGTTCAGCACCACCCTAAAATGGATCGGATTTCAATTGCCTCCATCTTTTATATAAAGACATGGCCAAAAGAAAGGTAATTCTTAAGAACCAATTGCAGCAATGAGTCCAAAAGCTGTGATCTCCATCGGGGACACTTTGCGCGTAAATAACAACAACGCTGAAAACAAAAGTGGCCAAATAGAGTAGGATGGAGCCTGCGCTCCAGCCCTCTCTTGGCCATTTCTGTCTTGAGGCCTTCACAGGTTTGGTGCTTCACAGACACAGCTGTTTTGAAGAATAAACCTTCTCGACTTTTGAGATGCCAAAGCACAGAACCAGCATATCCCACACAACACCTCGCTGGTGTAAGGAAAGCGAGTGCTTCTCCCCTTTGCAGCAGCACAAGGGCTGCTGTCCACCTCTCCCCCACCGTGGCAGCGGTTTTGTGTTTGCTAGAATATTATAGTGTAAGAAAGCGTAATGAATGAATAAACAAACATATAAAACAAGTGGTCAGGAAGGAGCACAAGGAGTTGTCAGACTTTCTTTGGTGCAACTTTGCTTTAAAATTGTCCTATTTAAACCTCATATTGGTTAAGGTTTGAATACCATATTCGTTATATAATAGGTCTATTATATATCAGTACACTCTAGAAGAAGCAGAAGTAACCAATATGAGTATGACAAGATGATACTGGTTTGAGATGGATGTAATTAGAACTGAAGAGGAGAAACAAAAGAATGAGATGCAGGTAGGGAAATACAATAATACCTGAACTACAGGAATATGTCCATGCAACACAGCAAATGTCAGAGCTGTCCAATGGCGGGTCTCAGGGTGGACGGATGGGTATTTATGAGCAGTACTGACAACCTACAAACAAATTAAAGTTATTTTTTTAAAGAGTAATAAAATTCAACCTGCCTGAAAGCCAGGCATGTGAGGGAGTAAGTGAAATAGAAAACCTGGGAAAGGTGCTTTATAAAATGATTGGCTTCTTTTTTTTTCCTGCAAAAATTTTCTCAGTGTTAAAACTGTTCATGCTGATTTGACAGCTTGAATAGAGTTCATACCAAATGAAGTCTTTTTACCAACTACTGTAGCTCCATCTAAACCACTGTCCACCAGATACTTTTGCACAAGGTCAAAAACATCCACAGCTGGTTACAGCAGCACACACTGGGGAAGCAGGGACAGATCAGGACGCTTACAGCTAAGGACTGCTCCCACTGACTTCTTCAGATCATGTATCAACAGCCCTGGCTCTTAGGATTGCTCCAGGCCCAAAGAAATTCTTTCCACATAAATGAGTGTGACTTTTGTCACTGCCATCCAGAAAGACACATCACAAGTCCTACCCTAAGAGTTCTCAGATGTGCTTCCAGGCTCCTCCTCTCTCACCAGAGTTTAAGAGACAGCTGAGAAGTGATGGGACAGCACGGCATTTCAGAGGTGTTTTAAGAAAACTCCTTTTTACTGCCTTCTCCTGTCTCAGTTGAGTTAAAAGAGCAGGGTGGTGACTGTCAAAAGAGATGCAAACTATATCCTTAGAAAACAAAGTGGCATTTTTCACATTGCTCCTTCCACTTTCTATGCTTTAGTGCCTGGTGCCTCTAATGTAGACATTGAGGAAGATGAATAACCACTCTTTGCTTCAGCTCTCCTGTCTTAAAGATGGGAGTATTAATATTGATGAGGTTCACAGAGATGGTAAAATCTAATGAACGTTTGCAATCCGAGACTGCACACTCGGATGGTGTGTGATGCTAAAATTCAAAATCTTATTACTGATGTTCAGAGGAAGACTAAAATCAGAGTAAAAGATGCATCATCTCTCTGTCTCGTCAGCCAGCTATGCTTTCACTACCTTGTCTGAAGTACTTCAGCCCACGTAGGGGAGCAGGGCCAGTCATTAAATGCCCGGTTGCATTAGCAGCTCACATTTCCAAGCGCCACATGCAGCGTTTTGCTAGAAGAACATGACCAGGCCCTCAGTCCCAAGGTCAGGGATGAGGGCAAAATCTGCAGAGCCCATGCAGATCCCGCAGCTTGCCAGAGGAGTGGATCTGCACCAGCACCTGGCTGTTATCGCCCAGATTTGCCAGAGAGCGAGCTTGAAGAGCAACAGGAGAAGCGTGCCGGTGTCTAAGCACAGGCACGGGGCCTCTTTGGGTCGGGGTTTGCTCAGAAGGAAGAGGATCAAGCAGCTCAAGCCTTGGGGTTTAGGCCAGGGAGCAAGAGAAGCAGAGGGTGAGGATGGTCAGGGTCGTGGTTCAGTGAACGCATCCAGCTTCTCCTCAAGCACTGAACCCACTGCTGTTTGGGGCAGCCTGTGGCAAGCGGCAAAGAAAATTAAGTCATTTTAACTCCTTTGCTCCTTTATTTTGTTTAGACTTCTTTCCAGTTGACATGGTGTTTGCAAGACCTGTGTTTGACTGGGCTTTTAAGGCCTCAGTTGAGATTTACTGAGCTGCTACAGGTCCCACTGACTCCAGAACAAATTGCAGCTTCTCAGCACATCTGGAAATGAGTCCATTTTTGTTAAAGATGGGCAATCAAAAAGGGAGGCACCCAGCATTTGAGGCTACTTTTGGAAACACACATATATATATAAAACTGATTTGCAAAGTGAACGGGGGAAAATGATGCAGGCACCTGACAGTATTTATTTTTGTTCATGGTTGATTTGCCTTTTTTTTTCTGTAATAGCCCAATTTGCACAGTTGGTTGTGGTGTGCACAAATCATCTTATAATTGCACACCATAATTATTCACAGTTCTTGTCTCAAAGTGTTTTCATTTGATTTTAGAGCAAACACTCTACAGAAATGAATCAGGGAGGTTCACATTCCTCACTGGAGCTGTTCTCTCAGACGTCAGCAGTTTCAGGAAGACAAAACTGTTTAAATTTGCATTTGGTTCAAGTCTGGAAGATTACTGGAACAATTGGGAGGACTGCTCCTAATGAAAACTTGTCCTAGGAACCGAATAAAGCCATCTCACTTCTGAGCCACAGGCAGGGTTAAAGTAGATGAGTCTCCAGTCTTTGGTGTGCCTATCGAGAATGCTAACAAGGGTTCAAGTATTCAATTATTGCCAGCTCTTGAGGGTGATGTGCTTGAATTTAGGGAACTGAAATCATCAGCTGATTTCACATAAGTCACCAAACAGCAATCAGATAGTAACGACTATCAGTCTCTTACAGGTGACATCCATTTCTACTTTTAAATTAGATTTTTTAAAAGTGCAAAATGTCTGGCTGAAAGCAGTGACTACAATTTATCAGCTCGATCAAGTCCAAACAGAACAGATGGAACACAGATAAGTGAAGCAGACAGCTTAATTTACTCATGACCTCAACAAATTGAAACTGGAATCATTAACAAATAATTATTTCGCGGATTTTCAAACGGCTCTTTAAAAATGTACATACCTGCATTGCATAGAGTCAGACCACAATCTGTTTGGTGGACAGATTGTGTAAGTTTGTGATATGCATTCATCAAAGAGATGTTTATATTCCGGAAGCTTCAAGCTCCTCATTCACCCGTTTTTAGCCTACGGCACTTTGTAAAACAAAACAGTGGAACCTACATTGCACTTGTGTGCAGGGAATGTTTACCTGGAACATCTCAATGCATAGAAGTGCTCAAGCTTTGGCAGGTTATCAGATGGGTATTTCTTTTACTCTCTTCATTCTAACTTAGCTGAGATTCAGGGAGTCCTTCAAATATCATTAGAACTTTACTCCTTGTTACTGCTAATGCCTGTGTTCATTTGCAGCATGCAAATACAACTAAATCAATATTACCTGTGGGTAAGTCCGATGACTTGACCCCTTCTGTGCAGTGAATCCCAATGTTAACCTAATGCAGTTTGATTTCACTATTCAAGTGGTGCCGTCCAGGATAAGATAAATTTATTTTATTTTTAATTCTTCGCATTTTCCCTCCGCTACAGTGTCAGGGGGTAGTTTAGTATGTAAACAAATAACAGAACAAAGATACAACCAACAAAAAGTCCTCACCTCAGCATTCAGATCTGCTCCAGCATCTAGCAGCATCTGCACCATAGCCTCATCACCCCTGACACAAGCATACATCAGTGGAGTCATGCCCTAGTCATTTTTTGGAGTTAAAAAACAAAGGAATTGACAAATTTAACACAGAACTCTCTTTGATTTTTTAAAACAATTATTTCAGTATATATAATCAAAACTAACAGCATGTATTTAAAAAAAGCCATTACCTCTGTTACAGACATGCCCCTCAGACTAGCAAAAGCCAACCATTTTTGTAAAATCTCCGTTTTTGTTGTCACTTGTGTTGACTGTTGTGGTTTTTTTTTTAATGTTGTCCTCGGCATCCTCAGCATGGCAAGTGAAACTAAGCTTGTCAGCCTTACCTCCACCTTCATATACCAAACTGATCATCTTTGTCTTTGAGGTCCCAGTAGAGAAAAGTTTTTATCAAAGCAATCGTATTTTCACTGGTATTTTAAAAAGACAATAATTCTATTCAGTTTTCTATGATCACAGTTTCATAAAGTCTAGCTTTTTAATTACTGAAAGAGCCTCTAAAAATATCCCAAGCTCCTCTTAAGATAGGTTAGATTCGAGCACAGCTTTTTCAACACAGATACCGTGAGGAGCTGGAAATGCAAAGGCTTTGTATAGCACTCTCTAGCAAACAAGGACTTAATTTTAAATGAAATGCCATACAGCACTGTTGCAAGTTGCTGGCTCTAGGAAAACATGGCCCTGTTTGGAGGAAAAGTAGATTAAGTGACCCTTCACTATAGAACCATCACAATGCAATTTGTATTAATCTGAAGTACCTGCTGCGGTTGATCACCATTTCCCTTAAGATAAGTATTACTGTGGCTGTGGTAATGAGTCCACATGAAACCATGAAAAAATCCTTAAATCTACCGTAAATTATAACAGAAAAAGCTTCTTATTAAATACAGTAGGGGGTGTTGATCAACAGCCACCAGTTGTTTTGCAATAAATCTATTCCAGCACACAGCTACGTCTGATGCATGTTTATAGCCTGCCTCGAGGTCCCCCGATAAATTTGCTGGCAGATGATAGCCCGTTTACTGTTTAACCTGAGCGCTGCTGCGAAGTGAAATTATTTTCAGAGAAACTGGAGGTGCCCAGCATGGCCAGACACAGATACATGACACTGCCCTTCCTAGCAAGAGCCCAGCACCACTGTTTCTGCTCAACGACCCCGTTTTTCCTGTTTGCATGCAGGGCTAAAGCTAGTGGGTGCTTATGTATGGAAGGGCTGCCCTTGTAGAGAAAATATAAATTAAGGTTTGTCCCTGCAAGGTACTTACAGCCCCCTTGAAACACATTGAGCATCTCACAAGATCAAATCTGCAGCGTACTTACGGAGGCATAGAGGAAGGGAATAGGCATGTGGGGCCTCGTGCCATTAGTAAGAAAAAACAAGCTCGCCCCAGGCAAGGAGAGTTCTTGGGCAACTTGAAGTTACTTGCAAAGAGAATTTGAAACTACTTCAGCTACAGTCAGTGGCAAAACATTTCCTTTGGCAGTCAATAAACACTACAGGAACAAACAGGACCATGAGAATTACAAAAAATTGTGTTTGTGCCTTGAAACATGGGGACGGGATGGCGACTTGAAATTAAACACACATTCCTTCGACAGTTATTTCAATTTCTGTACGTGGCGTCGTTTGATCATTAAATGAAGTGTTTAGCACAAGTTGTCTAATCAGATCTGAATAAAAGAATTTGAAAGCCTCAAGCTGTGGCTCTCCCCTGCAAGATACAGCACATGGGCAGCCATGGTGAGGAACCCTGTAGCAATGCCCAGAGTAAAGGGTCTGTCTGGGGACCACATGGGCTATTTTGGCCCTGCTGAAGCTGAAGAAGGACTTACCACTGACTAAAAGGGGCCCAGAATGTCCTGCAGTACAGGGCTTTAAAGAGTTAATGAGGTTTCTAACCTGCCCTCCCCTGCACTGCTATCCCTGCTGCTTTTGCCTCTGCAGCATCCTCAGCCCCCTCTCTGCATGGGAGAGGAATGGGTTTTTAATGAGCCCATCATTAGTGTTCGACACACACAGAGAAACATGGTAACAACATGTACAATTAATGCAAAGGGCTTTTGGCAAAATAAAAAATGGCTCTTTTTCTTTCAGCCTTGTATCACTTAGGGCTCTGTCCTGCAAGATGTGGGATTCCACAAGACGTGGGATGTTTGATCCAGCGAAGCATTTAAGCACAGGCTTAACTTTCACTCAAATAGGATGTAAGCATCTGTTCAGAGTTAAGCATATGATTAGGTACTTTGATAAATCAAACCAGAATGTTCCCAGGTTTCAGCCTGAAGGACAGAGGAAATACGCTGTGAAAAGTTTCCAGATTCAGAGTAACTAAAAATAATAATAATTTTAAAAAGTATCATGTATGAACCTTGGAATGAGCTCTCCAATACAATTTTTGGGGGAGGAGTACTGCTCTCTTCTAAACCTCTTCTTAAACAGATCTACAACATTGACTCACACTGAAGCTCCTGAGCAGCAACATAACCCACACTCCCACAGCAGCTTTCATCTCAGAGGGCCTAAACCAGCTTACAACCCTGCTCCTGTCCCAAGTGACCACCTCAGGGGTGGCAGCCACCTGCCTCTTGCCAAAGGGAATGTCACAGCTCTAGGAACATGCAGTAACACTTTCATCAGTGGCACCACAAAATTCAGAGAACTCCGTTTCAAAAGGAAATGTTAATATCCATGGTCATTGTTTCCCTCTGGGAAGGGGGAACCACCTGTGTGAGCATCACAGTCCAACAGACTCCTGCCAGTAGGCAGCCACAGAGGCAGGTTTATCCCCAGACACAACCATCAGTCTCGTGGAGATGTAACTTCAGGGAAATTTAGGCTCCTTAGTCAGCTGACGTTTGCCCCAGTGACGAAAGGAGTGGTAACATTGCAGAGAGACTTTCATGTCTGAAAGGTCAATTCAAATTGGACTCG